CAACCAACACTTCCCTTCAAAGGTGAGTGAAGCCGAATGAAACGTCTTCCCTAGCGTAATCCACACTACTTCCTTGTTGGGAACACATATTGTCCTAAAGAACAAACTCCACGTGGCTGATGATCTGCCGTGGCTGACATAGTAGTCCTACGCATCAGGATCTTCCCCAAACATTGGCAACCTGTAAGCTCTCCGAATGGCCTCTATAGATGCGTCCACATTTTTCTTTCGCGCCGTACAGACGTGGTTCACATGTTCCGGGATATTCGCGTAAAACTCCCTCACAATCATCAAATTAGCTTCGTCTGGTTCTTCAAAGAAAATATCCAGCCTGCGCCGGACCAATTCACGGCGCATATTAGGAAAGTTATTTTGGAGGGACCCCATATCAATTCCCCTCTCCGGTATGGGTTTCTTGGATTCCTTTAGACCAAAACATTCCTGGGCCGCGTTGGATACGAACTTGGTACTATCATACTGGCAAACATTAGCCAAAGCTCGTGGCTTGGATGATCCAGCGTAACCACTGGAGGATGCATCGGTGGTTCTTCGTTTCTTGGAGGGCATCATACTACCTAAAACAAATATCACCATCAGTGTAAAACAAGATATGTGAACCAAGGGAGGTTACTCAGAATTCACCTGCACAATTGGTCACAGATGATATTCAAGACTCACTGTGGCATTTAAACAAACATTTGATGTGCACATTCACCCCAAATTTCCCAAGCATCTAATTCGACCTCAACAACAAAATCCACTATCCTCACATTCCAACAAGTATATTAGCAAAACAAAACACAGACAAGAACTCTAATGACAAAATTTGGAAAAACTAAAAAAAACTAAAGAAAAAGGAAAATAGAAGCCATGGAACTTACCTGACGATCTTGTGAGGAATATAGATTAGGGAGTGATTGAGTAGAGAAGAGGAGGAAAGAAAAATGGGAATTTGGGAGAAGGGAGGATGGTGTGCGTGTGTGTTGTGTTTTTGAGAGGGAGAGAAGGGTTTTCTTCTATTGTTGTTTTCTGATTTTAGGGGGAGGGTGTTAGTAGGTAAAGAAAAGCAAATAAAAACTAATGAAAAGAAAAGAAAAAAAATAATAAAAAAACTTTAACTAAACCTAAAATCGGCGCTCAATGCGGGGTCGGTCCGCGATCAGTGCGCGACCACGCACGTAGGGCAGTGTGGGTGAAGAAATGTGCAGTCCAAGCGTGGATGTTGCAACAGTGGGAGTCTGAAAGTGTGCGGCCTGTGCGCGGTCAGTGCGCGACCACTCACGTTTGGCCTCCGAAATTTTTTCCCTTTTTCGCCACTTTTTACGTATCTCCAGGTTGATCCCTTCACCCCGAGTCCTTCCGACGCTCACAATTTCATCCCTGTACATTAATAGACCTGTCAATGCTTTCATAGTTCAAAATCAAATAAGAAAAATATTGGGTTGCCTCCTAAGAAGCGCGTGATTTAACGTCGCAACACGACGAATTACACCAAACCATGGGTTGCCTCCCAGGAAGCGCATGATTTAACGTCGCGGCATGACACAAGCTTTCATTATTGCACTTCGCTCACGTATTGGGGATCTTCCAAGGATATCACAACTTTCTCCCCTTTTTCTTCAACCATTCCAAGGTAGTGTTTCAACCTTTGCCCATTCACTTTAAACTTATTCGTTCCATCTTTAGACTCAATTTCTACTGCTCCACTGGAGAACACTTGCACAACTCTAAATGGTCCTGACCATCTAGATTTCAGCTTACTCGGAAACAATCTTAATCTCAAGTTGTATAACAACACGAGATCTCCAGGTTTGAAGCTCCGATCTAGAATCTGCTTATCATGCATCATTTTCCTTTCTTTGTACAATCTAGCATTCACAAATGCATGGAACCGGAATTCCTCGAGTTCATGTAGCTCGGCGACTCTACTTGTGCCTGCGATTTCCATATCCAAATTTAACTGCCGCAGTGCCCATAGGGCTTTATGCTCAAGCTCCACTGGAAGAAGGCATGTTTTTCCAAATACCAACTTGTATGGGGACATACCAATTGGAGTTTTAAATGCTGTGCGGTACGCCCATAATGCATCATCCAGCTTCTTTGCCCAATCAGTCCTTGTTGCATTCACTGTTTTGGTCAGGACACTTTTGATTTCCCTGTTGGATACTTCAACTTGCCCGTTCGTCTGTGGGTGGTAAGGTGTGGCAACCTTATGGCCAACTCCATACTTTTCTAACAGCCTTACGAACGCTCTATTGCTAAAATGGGTTCCACCATTACTGATTATAGCTCTCGGTATGCCAAAACGTGTGAAAATATTTTTCTTTAGAAAGCATGTCACTCCTTTGGCATCATTTGTTGGAAGGGCCACAGCTTCAACCCATTTAGAGACATAGTCAACTGCTACCAATATGTATTTGTTACCATACAAGCTGAGAAATGGCCCCATAAAATCAATTCCCCACATGTAAAATACTTCCACCTTCTGAATTGTAGTCATCGGCATCTCGTGACGGCGAGATATGTTGCCTGTCCTTTGGCACTCATCACAACTTTTTACCCAAGCATGGGCATCCTTGAATAAAGTCGGCCAATACAAATCCGACTCCAACACCTTCACCGTTGTCCGAATTCCTCAAAAGTGCCCACCATATGGTGAAGCATGGCAAGCCTGCAAAATAGAAGGTTGATCTTTCTCGGGGATACACCCCCGGATCATGTTATCTACACATATTTTAAAAAGTAGAGGTCCATCCCAGTAATAAGACCAACAATCGCGAAAGAACTTTTTCTTTTGAATCGAAGAGAGTTCATAAGGTACAATACCGCTTGCTAAATAATTAGCAATATCAGCATACCATGGCGTCTCCTTCATTGCCACTGCTAGTAATTGTTTATCTGGGAATGTCTCAATTATATCTTCAACCTCTACCTTCTTCTCAGTTCCCTCCAACCTTGAAAGGTGGTCAGCCACTTGGTTATCTGTCCCTTTTCTGTTGCGGATCTCTAGATCAAATTCTTGTAGCAAAAGAACCCAGCGGATCAAGCGTGGCTTTGACTCCTTCTTTGCTATCAAGTACCTAAGTGCTCCATGGTTAGTATACACAATAACTTTTGAACCAATCAAATACGACCTGAATTTGTCGAATGCAAACACCACAGCCAACATCTCATTCTCAGTCATGGTATAATTGAGCTGTGCAGTGCTTAGCGTTCTGCTTGCATAGTAATGGGTGAATTAGCTTGTCCTTCCGCTGCCCCAGGACTGCTCCTATAGCATAGTCACTCGCGTCGCACATGAACTCGAACGGTTGCTCTCAGTTGGGTGTAATGATGATGGGTGCAGTCACCAGTCTCTTCTTCAACTCCTCAAACGCCAACCTGCAATCATTAGATAACACAATGGGATTATCCTTTTCAAGGAGTTTACATAAATGGTTAGCAATTTTAGAGAAATCTTTTATGAACCGTCTGTAGAACCCAGCATGCCCAAGGAAACTTCTCACTGCCTTGACCGAAGTGGGCGGTGGCAACTTCTCAATCACGTCAACCTTAGGATGATCGACCTCAATTCCTTTACTGGACACTCGATGCCCCAATACTATCCCTTCTTGTACCATTAAATGGCACTTCTCCCAGTTCAGGACTAAATTTGTCTCCACACATCTTTTTAGCACTCTTCTTAAATTGTGAAGACAGTCTTCCAAGGAATCCCCCACCACGGAGAAATCATCCATAAATACTTCTATAATATCTTCAACCATATCCATGAAAATGGCGAACATACACCTCTAAAATGTAGCCGGTGCATTGCAAAGGCCAAACGACATTCTCCGAAAGGCAAAGATGCCATACGGACAAGTAAAGGATGTTTTCTCTCTGTCTTCGGGGGCTATTGAAATCTGATTGTACCCCGAATATCCATCCAAGAAGCAGAAGTGAGACCGCCCAGCCAACCTATCCAACATTTGGTCAATGAATGGCAAGGGGAAATGGTCTTTCCGGGTGGCTGTGTTCAGTTTCCGATAATCCATGCAAATTCGCCAACCCGTGACTGTACGAGTTGAGATCAACTCGTTATTCTCATTTTGCACGACCGTTATTCCTCCGTTCTTCGGCACGCAGTAAACAGGGCTGACCAGTTACTATCAGAGATGGGGAAGATGATTCCCGCTTCTAACCACTTGATCACTTCTTTTCTCACCACCTCTTTCATATTCGTGTTCAAACTTCTTTGATGTTCTCTGGAAGGTTTGTTCCCTTCTTCCAAAAGAATCTTGTGCATACAAAAAGCTGGGCTGATACCCTTTATGTCTGCCATGGTCCAACCAATAGTAGTCTTACATTTCTGTAACACCTGTAGGAGTTGCTCTACCTGCACAGCTAACAAACCCGATGATATAATAACAGGTAAAGTATAATTAGGCCCTAAAAAAGTGTACCTGAGGTGAGGTGGAAGCGATTTCAGGTCCAAGTATGGTGGCTCCTCTATCGATGGTTTCGCAGGTGGTGTTGTTCTTTCTTCTAAGTGTAGGGGCTCGAACTGGGGTTCCCTTTTCCAGAACCCTTGACCTTCGAGAGCCATGACCCACTTTGCCAACTCTTCACCATTCACATTTTCCAAATTCATCAAGCAGGCTTCTAACGGATCTCTAACATTAAGGGTCCCATCCTCCTCTTGTAGTATTACATCCACGGCCTCCACTAGCGAGCAATTTGGAAATTTGCTGGGTATCCTCATAGATTGTTGAACATTGAATATTATTTCTTCATTATTAAACCTCATTTTTAACTCACCAGTCTCACAATCGATCAATGCTCTCCAAGTGGCTAAGAACGGCCTCCCCAAAATTATTGGTATTTCTTCATCCACTTGACAATCAAGAATAACGAAGTCAGCAGGAAATACAAACTTCCCCACTTGGACAAGCACATCATCCAGAATTCCAGTCGGTCATTTGACTGTGCGATCAGTCATTTGCAGTAACATTGAGGTCGGTCTAGCTCTGCCAATGCCTTGCGTAGATTGCCAAAGGCATCAAGTTGATACTAGCTCCCAAGTCACACAATGCTTTAGCAAAAGCGTAACTTCCAATTGTGCATGGGATAGTTAAACTACTGGGATCAGACAATTTTTGAGCCATAGGTCTTGTCACTACCGCGCTGCAGGTCTGAGTTAGAGTTACAGTAGGCAGGTCCTGAAAGTTAAATTTTCGAGACATCAGATCCTTCATCGTTTTTACATAGCCTGGCATTTCGCTCAAAGCATCCATCAGCGGAATATTCAATTGAATTTGTCGGAGCATATCCATGAATTTCCTGTATTGATCATCTTTCTTTTGCTTGGCCAACCTCTGAGGAAATGGTGTAGGAATTAGCTTCTGCCCACTGCTTGGTGTCTTTTCTTTATTAGGAGCCTTCTCCACCACCTGTTCTGAGAGTTGTTCAATTTCCTTCTCCTTGCTTTTGTCAACTTGTGCCTGTTCAATTACAACCTCTACGAGCTCCGTTGACTCGTCGGTCTCTGATGTCACTGGAGTAATTGGCATTGCGTCTCTCCTAGATTGAGAAACTTCTTGTTCTCTATCTAAATCTCTTCCATTCCGGAGACTCACTGCCTTTAACTGATTTGGGTTCCGCTCCTTTGGATTGATGTTTGTGTCTGCAGGCAACGTTCCTTGTGGGCGATGTTCACGTCCATAGATAGCTGTCCCAATTGAGTTTCAGTGCCTTTAATAGCCGAATCATGTGCAACTAAAACTTTTCTTGCATCTTTCCATTTGTCCCAATGAGTTGTTGCAGCATGCCCCTGATTTCTATCATATTACTGTCCTGCTGTTGATGAGGCGGTTGGTAAGCCAACTGTTGTTGGTGCTGCTGATTATAGCCCTGCTGCCTTTGATAAGGCACGACTTGGCCTTGTTGTCGTGCGCTCCCTGGATTGGTATTATGTTGTTGCTGGGTTGGTCTGTACTGCTGATTTTGAGGTCCCCATTGCTGTCCACCTTGCCTTTGACCTCCAAAATTATTGACGTAATTCATGTCTTCTCTGAAGCCCTGGTTATCATTCTCTCCACTCCACGAGCAAACATATGACTGATTTATGCAAGGAGTGCATAGGCCTCCATTTGTCGTATCAACAATGTGCACCTGTTTCGTACCCATCTCATCAATTTTCTTTGTCAGCAAGCTCATCTGTGTCATAAGAATGGCTATGTTTTCTGCATTTGTATTATTTGGGTCAAGAGCAACAGAATGCACTATTGGAGTGAGTGTTGTATCTCTCATCATCCAGCCTGAATTTTGAGACATCTTATCAGAAGAATCTTACACTTTGTGAATGTTTTGCTCAAGAATGCACCCCCGGCTGAAGGCATCTACATTGGCCTTCAGACCGTCAGCCAAACACATATAGAATCTCTGTCCTAGCATCTGATCCGGGATGCCATGGTGTGGACACTTCACCAGCATACCCTTAACCTCTCCCAGGTTTCTCGCAAAGTCTCAGTCTATTTCTGCCTGAATTGCAATGTCTTATCAACTTGCCTCGCAGTTTTGTTGGGTGGATAGAACTTGTTTAAGAACTGCTTGACTAGTTCCTCCCAAGTAGCAATGGAGTTTATTGGGAGTGAATTCAGCCAAGTTTGAGCCTCCCCAGTCACTGAGAATGGGAACAATAATAATTTGATTGCTTCAGGAGTCACATTCGGCTGTCTTTGAGTGACACAAATTGATAGAAAGTTCTTCAGATGTTGTTGTGGGTCTTCAATGTATGACCCGGAGAACAGCCCCTTATTCTGCAGCAAGTGCAGCATGTTGTTGGTAATCTGGAACGTCTCCTCTTGTATTTGAGGGACTGCAATTGCGGTGGCCAGGTTGTCAGCAGTTGGTTGCGCCTAATCATAAAGAGCAGCTTCCGACACAAGAGGTGCTGCCACTCTGATGTTTGGGTCAACTCGATCATTCCTATTGTTCCCGTTGATGTTCTCGGCATTGTCCATTTCAATTTCGAGTTGGTCATTTTGTTTTAGCGGTTTGCCCTTCTTGTTAGCCCGATTCAATGTCCTGAATGCTTTCTCAGGATTTGAGAGTCCTTCAAAAAGTTCACCAGTTCTCAAAGAGCTTCTAGGCATGCACCCGAATCACAGAAGAGTTCAAACGTGAGAATTCCAATGGAAATATTTTAACACCACAGAAAATTGATCTAAACTAAAAATCCTAGCAATTCTTCCAAGTTGTAGTAAATAACACCGTTAGTTCCCCGACAACGGCGCCAAAATTTGATCACGCCCAACTACGCCTTATAAAAAGGACTAAGCGGTCACTGCAAATATAATCCGGTTCAAGAGTCCGGAGTCGAATCCCACAAGGAACTAACCTATTTACTACACTTTTAGTAACGCTAATGATAAGCTCAGACAATTTTCAGATGCAAGATTTTATTTGATAATTAACAGAAATTATTTAATCAAGGAAAGATGACAATAGAAACTATCAATACGCAAGAATGAAGTTGAATTCAGTGGTAAAAGGATCTATGATTATTGATTTCCCCAATTGTCGGATTAATTCCTAACATATTAGCTATTATCTCACCGTAACACTCTATATAGATGACGAGTTCTTGTTTACCGTAATTATCTCTCGATCAATTATGATAATTTACTAGAAGCATTCTCTCGAACTACTCTAGTTGACAATTTGAACAACTCATAAATATCACACCAAAGCTTCGTTATCTCTAACCTCGCTTTTAAATTCAAGTAATTAATCTCTTAACTTATCCGAAAGTGGCATTGTTCAACAACGATCTAATGAAGTGTTCTTTCTCAAGCAACACAAGATAACTAGACACGATTAATCAAGGGCCCTTTCAATTAATCACAAGACAACACATAGTTGAACAATTATAGAGTAAAAATGACTCAATTATATTAAAACGTAATAAAGACTTCATCCAACAGTTGGTTCCATCAACAAACCCTAGATGACGGGTTTAGCTACTCATACTACTAGACAAGATTACAATATAAAAAGTCATAACCAACAATGGAATTAAGAAGAAGAAGATGAAAAACTCATAGATGATTCTCCGTCTTTCTCCCTTTTGTGTTCTTGCCTCCAAAGTTCTTCTACAAAATAAGTCTCTCCTCTTTTTGGGCGAGTCCCGCTTCATATAGGTTAAGGTTAGTCGCCTTTTTAATTACAAAATTGGCCTTGGACTATTTTTCCTCGGAAGCACGTGCGCGGCCGCGGATCAACCGCGGATTGTACGCGCATTTTACCCAGTGTTCTGCCTGACTCGCGGCCAGTGCGCGGCCTCGGATCGACCGCCCACCTGGAGGAGTTTCTGCCTTCATTTTTTTCTTTCTTCTTTTGCTCCATATTAACTCTAAAATACTCTTTAATGTCCTCATAGCCCGAAACTGCTCCTGCAAGGCATAAAGTTCATAATTAGAGCAATTTGTTATCATTTAACATTCAAATATCAATAAAGTGCAGCTAAGTTAGAGCATAATTGGTAGCTAAACTACATAATTATAGCCTACTATCATCTGGGTCCATTATTTTACCGTACCCGATCCCAGGTACATCGTTCACTCCTCCAGGGTTCTGGTACGAGGGGTCCTTTGACATTGCTTATAGTCGCGCTAAACCGTGCTTCCCCCTTCTTTCTTTATTGGGGAATACAGGGAAAATTTGCCCCCGATTTTACCCTTACACAGATAGTCCCCTCACTTTTCAGAGAGCAGATTTATTGAAGGGATGGGAAGCGAAAAATTAACCTTAGTTCCTTCTTTCCTACGCCACAATCGAGTTGACGAGTCTGTGCAACGTCCCATCAGTCGCGTCATTCTGACTTCGGACGTGTGTCAACCGCCGGTTGACCGTTCCCGAATGTGAAACATCACACACCGATTACCCTTTCTCTATAAAAGCTTCGGTCACTTTTTTCACTTTTTTACTTTCCGATTCCAGAGCTTCTTAATATGCTTCCGAACTTTTCACTTATTCTTAACCCCTCCAAATCTTCATACATTGTTCCATATATCTTCATATTTTCATCTTCCCATGTTCAAATCTTCATACTCCATCTTTAAATCTTCAAATCTGATCTTCATACCTTCATCCTTATCTTTAAATCTTCATCCTCGCCTTCAAATATTCATCCTAACCTTTAAATCTTCATATTTTCCAGAATTCGATGGCGAAGTCTTCGAAATTTAGTCCTGAGTAGACCGTCCCTTCAACTTTCTAACCCAACCACGGATCCCGAGGTTGCTCGGGAACCTCTCTTAAAGAGATTCATCCCCGGAGGCTACTCCATTAAGAACGAATTCATGGTTGGGAAAGCCTCCAGTCAACAGGACCGAGGCGAGGGGTGTATGGAGGTAGATATGCTCTAAACGAGGATACACTCCCTACAGTTCAGGAGGACTGCAATTGGGAGGGCAAAGAAGTGGTCGTCCCTGGTCCCGATGAGGACGTTACCACTCATGTGGAGGGGTATCTAAGTATTTACACTTACCCCTTCACACTTCCCCTGGTGGATCCTATAATTCTTAGCTTTTGCAAATGGTACAAGGTCTGCCTTGGGCATATTCACCCGTCCTTTTGGAGGATAGTAATCTTACTCCGTCATTTTGTCAATAACACCGAAGCACCTCGATTCACCATCGACCACCTGCTTCGTCTCTACAGTCCCCGAGTTTTTTGAGGGGGTTTAATCAAGCTCGTTCGTCGGGCAAGTAAAGCTTCATTTTCAAGCATCAATGAAGATCGGGATTGAGGATGGCAGGGGAGATTCGTTCGGGTAAAAATCGAAGATCCCATTCCTTCCAAATTCTTGCCGTTTCCTGAAAAGTGGAACTTAGCCTGTAAGTTCCTTTCCCTTCTGAATACTTGGAATTTCTTTTGTTCTTTTTTCTTATTGCCTGCTTCTATCATCGTGCAGTGGTTGCCTGAGTTCCCAACGCAATTCCTCGCTTCAAAGAGTAGGTCAAGGGGATCTGCAAATAAATATCGTACTTTGAGCGGGAATGGTGCAAACTTTTAAAGGGCAAGTGGGAGGTCCGTTCCCATGGTAAGTTCTCCTCCCAGTCAAGTCTATTCTCACACTCAACCATCATTTCCACTAAGTTCCCTTTCCTTCATAGGTTTGCCCAAGACCACTGAACTTTGGGCATTGGACGAGGACGAGGCTTTGTCCTTGCTCGGCAAACCCTCCGCTCCACGACAGCCTGGAGCCACTGCATAGGAGGTGAAGAAAAAAAAAGAGAAACTCTTCGGGCTGTCCGGACGACGAAGCCAAGAAGAAAAGGATAATGGTCCGGGTCTGAAAAAGCAACAAAAGAGTACCCGGGCTAGGGTACCGGACTCAAACTCCCTCTACCGGCTGAGGGATTAATCTGAAGATGATGATCTAGAGTTTGTCGCCCATGGGTTGGCCATTGATGAGGAAGAACAGGCGGCAACCGGAGGTAGTGTTCGAGAGGTCGATCCCTCTTTAGTTCGGAAGTCGGAGGGAGAATCCGAGGCTATGGTATCCCGAGAAACTATCCCTACTTCGAGGGAAGTCGCAGGTGTCATTGCCATTGAGGAATCACCGTTCCATATAGAGTCCGTATTCGACGAGGCTCAGGCCGTCAAGGAGAAGCCAAATGAGACGACACGGGCCGTAGATGGGGCCCTCAACATGTTCTTTAACAGTGTGGACATGGATTGGAAAAAGGACCTGTCGTCGGGAGCAGGCGAGCCGGGCTCGAGCCCGAAGCTGGTGAGGTAGTTCCCTGCTCCGAGCATGGATCCCGGCCGAAAAGAACGGTCGTGTTTACTATCCCGACGGACACCTGGGTGCTGTATACTTTGGTGGGTGTGGCCGGATATCTTTGCTGCCTAGTGATCAAAGAGGACCATGCGAAGATGAACGAAGTGAGCACATCGAGCCTCTTCAACGAGGCACAACATGCACTGAATCGGGTAAGTTTCCCTTTCCTTTTGTCCTTCGTGCATCTTATTGAACTTCAGCATATTCTCATGATCTCATTGATTTGTTTTTTAGGCTTCGGTGCTCTACCATGAAAGCTTCCATCGGTCTCGAATGGAATGCAGCCAGCTCGAGTTTGAGCTCAAAGAGCAAATCCGACAAAGGGATATGTACAAGGTGCTCAACGAGCAAAAAGACGAGGCCCTCAAGGATCTGCCCATTCTCCAAGTCGAGCTAGAAAAAGCTCGAAGGGAGGCTTTGTGTGAAAAATGGGAGCATACCGAGCTGGTTAAAAAGGTAAGGATATATGAGATTAAAAATGAGA